CTTCTATATTCAAAGTAAGAAAAACATATGTGTTTGTTGTGGTGAAGGGAATCACTATTTACGGTACCGGGTTATACCTTCGTGCTACAGAATGCATTTCCCTGAACATTTGAAGAGTCATCGCTCTCATGATATTGTGCTTCTCTGTGTGGATTGTCATGAAATCGCACATGCTGCCACCGAGAAGTACAAGAAACAAATAGCTACAGACTTTGGAATACCACTTTACATTCGTAAAGTAATTGATTCTGATCAAGTTCAAAATACAAGTGAATCGACTGATGTACATTTTGAGGAGGTAGGCGTATCTCCTTTGCAGTTGCGCACTGCAGCAATGGCTTTGTTGCGCCATGGGCAAAGAATGCCACCCAAACGCCGTGAAGAATTAACCCAGGTATGAATAGTTGTCAACTTTCTGTATTTTCATTTTGGGTAGTAGCAATGAATGAAAAGGTACTAGTAGTAGTCAAAAGTAAAATGATGGTAAGATCATCAAGTTGCAGACCCTATATTTTCTTGATAGTCTTGCATTTCCTTGAAGAATGGTAGTAAGAATGTGTGGTATATCTGCAATGTTTGGTAAATGACATGGTATATCCAAAAATATTTTCCAATGTGTGGTATATCTGCACTAATGTTCTATGCAAAGATTTTATTTTATTTTTTCTAATCTGGTTGAGTTTATGACACTTCACTTTATAATACTTTTCAATGGTCCTTTAGACATGGTACTTCAAACACCATGGGATGGTAATTGACTGCATATTGCTGGTCCAATTATATTGATTTGGTTATTGTATGATCTCTAACTTTAGCATTAATATCCCATTTTCTCTCGTATTTCAGATTTCAGAAAATGAGGACTTTGAAACCTTTTGAGTTTTGAGTCCATTCTGTCTTCCATATAGTGTCTAGATATTTTATTGCTGTTACTATCATTTGTTTGGGGAAAACTTTTAATGCGCGTTAGGAGCAACATCTCTTCATGGCCAAGTGTTGCATCTTTTGATTTCTATTGGCAGTGCTTTCCTTTTCACTGTAAATGCTTATAATAGATAAAATATTGGAAAGTCAGACAAGTCTAAAATGTCTTTGCCATTGTTTCCTCTCTTTGTTTTATTAGTGGCAGTGGTTGAATTTTCTTCAATGAGCTTTTGTGTCTATCGATTGTGCAGATAGTAATGCAGTACTATGGAGGTAGAGAAATATCAGATGAAGATCTGGAAAAGGCTTTGCTAGTTGGGATGAGTCCTTATGAGAGAAAACGACTAGGGAAAAAAAGAGGACTACAATTCAAGCATGCAAGTTCTCAAGTTTTGGTTGGTACAGATACAGATAGTAAAGAAACATGTAGCAAACAAAGTAATGGTCAAAACTTGATGGAGATGAGAACGGACGTAAGCGGTCACTCTACTTGTTCCAACACTCTGGCCAATGGTGAAGTCTCTTCGGCCCATAGTAAAGGAGTAGATTCGGACAGTACTAAGTCTCGAAATACCAATTGCATACCTTTTTCAGATTCTGATGTTGCTGAAAGTGGAAGTCCATTGAATGGAGCGAAAAATTTGATCTGCTCAACGTATAATGGAAATTTTTCATCGAAGCACAAGTCAAAGTATTCGCTACTTGGGCATGGACCACATGGAAAGTTAGTTGTTGATCATTTACTGAAGGAATATGGTGAGGATGGAATCCTTGAATTTTGCCAGAAATGGAGACAAGTTTTTGTTGATGCTCTTCATCCTCGCTTCTTACCTGCTGGATGGGATGTGAACCACAGGTACTTTTATGGCAGTGACCTTGTATGGTGTGCTCATATGGGATGTAATATCTAGTCATTATTCAATCCTTACAACCTATGGCAACTGTTTGTAAAATGCTGGACCCCCAGAAGTGCCTTTTTAGATTCCCACACATGAAAGAGTGTTTTTTAATTTGAAATGGTATTTAAAGTCTTAACATGCCAAAGGCAAATGCAGCACAAAAGTTGAAACTTAAAAGGCCTAGAATGTTTGAACTAAACTGTCAAGTGAAAGTGTGTAGAATTTTGGATGCTAAATTTAGAGTTCTGTGTGATTTTTATACCATAAACACATTGTATCTTGATTTAGTGATAGAATGAAGCTATGCAACATGATTAAGTCAGTATACAAATAATTTTAAAAAAAAAATTCAAACCAAAACAAAAAATGGTTACATATGAGTTCAAGGATAAAGAAACTGTAGGACCCAAGTAAAACTATAAGGGTAGCATCTCTAGGAAACGTGGCATCACAATAATGATTTAGCAAGCAGTGAAAATCAAGCTCAGATGGTGCACTTTTTGTAATATAGTACACATCCTATAATGTTGGGATCATAATTTTTTGGAAGCCCTAGGATTGTTGGATTTAGCTTTTTGTGCTGATTGGATTTGATATCTACTTTTCATACAAACTGAGATACTTATCTAAAGTATTTTGGCTTTCTTCTGGATGTGGATTTTTTTAGTTCCATCAGATTCTGCTTCTGGGATATATGTAAATGCATTACTGCGATTTAAACATATTTTGTCCTGTACATACAGTTTATTTGTCCTCTGTTTGCAAGTTGAAGACTTATAATAGCTATTCTCTTGCAGTTCCAGTTATGCATTGTGAGCATAGAGGCATAATTATCTTATTCTTGGTTCTAATATGTGAATTTCAGTATCAATATTACCAGTTCTTTGTTAATGCGTACATGTCTGCATGTTTATAAAGCATCTAAAATGGATTTAAAACTGTTCCTGTGGTTGGATCCCTGCACTTTAAAATCCAAGTTCACAAAGCAGTTGCTTGTACTTTCATGATTGTTATACTTGAACCTGTTTTTGAGTGTTTGAAAGTACGTAATTCTTAAAGTAGGAAGCATTTGTTGGGAATAAGGTTGGACACTCTCATATGGTTAATTTGCGTCTTGTCCTTCTCGATTGTGAAGGATGCTAAGAAGTGAAGGGGTGAACCTCTAGTACTCTTTAAGTACATTTATCAGAATGAAGCAAGTTTTTATCACAAATAATAAAATACTGCATAATATGTTGCCAAATATTTTGAATGGAACCACAGAAGTGGAATATTTTGCTTTTTGAATATTGGATTTCAGGTGTCAGGAGTGTGTATTGTATGGTTTCTGAATTTTTTGTGTAAGGATTTGATGTCTGGTGGTTTTTTGCCAGTGGTAAGAGGGACTTTGGGGATTTCAGCGTGTACAAGCCTGTGAAGAAAGTTTCTGCAGCTGCTGAGGAATCGGGAAAATGATCAAGACTTGAATCTGCCAGGTTGCAAGAGACCCTTTTAATTTTCATTTTATTCTAGGAGAGCACTAGCATCGTTAAACTAGGAGATGTAATCTGTTTTATCTCTGTTTATGTATTCATTTGTTTGTTCGTTTCCTTATCATCGTGGTTTTCCAATGATCAGACGAATTTTGTACAAGTGATTGCATTGGAGCTGTAGCTTATATAGTGGAATACTTTTCAAATGCAAGGATCATCTATTCTATGCATTGTTAAGAAAACCATTTGCTTTAAACCTTCCTTGTTGTTTTGCATTGAGCTGCTCTTTCGTTGGGGATTTTAGTTTCAAACCTGCAATCCTTCCGCCTGATAGGCCTCTTCCGTCTTCATTATTCTTGAAACTGAACACCTCAAATTTACTCCAATTTAAAAAGGACTGGTTGGCAATGTTTGAACGAGTTTGCCTTTTCAGATTAGGGCCTTGCAAGTCTGCAGATTGTTGCTATTCATATGAAGCTATCATGCAGCGACCTCAGAATTTGTCCGCTCTAATGGACTGCTCGGTGATGCACCAGAGTGTGGCAAATTCTCGAGTTTGTTTGCACGGATTTTTGAAGGCATTGCGACATCAACCAAGAGGGAAAACAGGATTCAACTGTATACTCGGGCCTAAGGTGGAATAACTGGAAGATCTCTTCGGTTCAAATTTACTAGCAAAAATTTAAGCTCAATCTTAATTTCAGGGCAATTTTTCCTATCTATTGGTTTCAACTAGAGGTGTCAAAATGGGTGACTTGGACGGGTTTGGATTGGATAAAATTGATAATGAGTATAAGTGAATCAACTCATTTATACCCATTTATACCCATTTAATTAGATGGGTATAAATGAATAAGTCAAAATTTTTATGGGGTAACCCAATTATCCATTTATAACCCATTTATTTTAATTTTTTTGTAAATTCATTTAAATTCATTTTTGCAAACTAAGTTATCAATTTATACCACTCTTTGTACCCATAATTAGTTTTAAATATTTACTTATAATGTTCAATAAGCCTAATTACCAATTTTTTTTCATTTATACTCTATTTCACAAAATTACATATTATTTAACAATTGAATAATAAGAGTATAAAAATTTGAACTAAGTACTATAAAAGTTAATATAAAAATTTAATCCAAAAATTTTGAATCCCTAACATTTTTTCATATATAAATTTAAAATTTCATTTTAGAAAGATAAGAAAAGAGGCTCAAATTTATCATAAATTGGTAATGCCGAAAAATGAGCAAGTTAACAAACTAAAAGAAAATAAAACCAACAAATAATAATAATAATGAAACAAAAGTAGTTAACATCATGACAAAATGAAAAATTTGAAAAAAAAAATGGGTGAAAAAAAAGAAGAGATTTAGGGGAAGAGAATTCTAAATGGGTTAATTGGGTTTGATGGATTACCCAATAATACCCATTTATTAAATGAGTATCATTAGGTAACTCATTTTTACCCATATACAAAAATTTAAGATATCCATACATATCTATTCATGAACGGGTATGGATAAATTTAGTTAAGTGGATTGATTTGCCACCTCTAGTTTCAACGGTGGGACTAGTGAAGAATGTTTCTTAATCATTTATTCCGGTCCGAGATATTGCTGACAGACTTTTGCCAAATTAGGGCTTTTCTGCACAGGTGGGTGGAAAGAGGAATAAAAAAGACGAGAGAGAGAGAGAGAGAGAGAGAAGAAAGGGAATTCTCTTAATAACCTTCAATATTCATTTCCATTTTGTTTCCTTGGGTGTACCATTCAGCCCCTGATTGTTCTATTACCCTCGGCTCCAACAAAGCCTTGAGCTGAAATCTCTAGTTACATTATATCGACTGCACAAATTTAGACTTCAGCAGTTCACTCTATACTCTTCTTGTGTTGTCCTCAACTAATCAACCATGGGCCAGGTACAGAAATGTCCCTCAACCAAAATGGGCGGAAAAATAAAGAAGGATAAGGTGCAAATATAAATTTAAAGCCATCGAAATAACCTCCGCTATTCAGCCATCTGAGCATGTCCATCTTCCAGCTTTCAAATATAAATTTCAAGCACTGTGCTTTCAGAAGTGGAGAAATCTGATCTGCTCAAGAATTAACTAGAAATGCACATCAGATCCTTCACGAATCTGGTACCACAACTAAAGAAACGTAATCAAAGACATACCATCGCTGAAACTACTTATAACAGTAACAGTTGAGACTTGTGATCAATGCCATTGAAGATGAAAGTCCCAGACATAGGAACAAACTGCCTTGTGATGAGCTGCAGTAGAGGCAAAATGATTGGCTTTAAATATATTCGTAATTGTGGAGAAAGTTAAAAAAGACCATAACTTGGCAAGAAAGTTCAGCATTACTAAATTGGACGGTTATGTCTGCATTCTCCCAAAAAATTATGAAAGGAAAGACATCCCAACCTTAATCACTTCCTGTGATGCAATTCCACCAATAAGGGCAGCCACAGCGTGAAGCTCTGCAGCACCATACCGGCACATTTCATTTATAAGATCTTCTATTAAAGATGAACCATTACAGCCCAGATCACTAAGGAGGCTGACCGCAATACTTTTCAATCTGGAAATATCCTCATCCATCCCACTGCAGAAAATTAAAATAGCAGAATCGCTAAGATGATGATCAAATAGCGTTTCCGCAATGAATGTGTCTAAATTATGGTTTTACCCCTCAAATTGGCCAGGGAAACTATTATAGTTTGCAGCAAAACGGTCCGCAGCTCGAAGCAGAATGTAGAACCCTGCAGCATAACTATAACACAAAATTTGAGGCCAAATAAAGAGAAATCACAATGCTGAACATGTGACATGTGACAAATCTAGAAAGAGCAGTAAGATATCTAACTATTTGCAATCAGCTCCTAAAGTTTTGCAGGTGCTGGAAACAAAGTAAAAAAAAAAAAGTTAAATGCTGATAGATCGATATCAATTTCTCTTAATCCTAGCTTTTTGAATGATTTACTAGAAACAAGCAGAATGTCTTAACAGTTCCTTTCTGTAACAATCTCTCTGAGCCAACAATAAAAACAAAACAGACGAGAGTAACTTATTATGTAAATTGTTGAACAGAAAATCCCATACACAGTCCTTAATTTTGTGCAACAGAAAGCTTTCAAAAGAGGTGATGCCACTTGAATGAATGATCAAAAAACTCAACCAGGGAGAAAAAAAAGTCTCACCTATGAATTGCATATACAAAATAAAACAACCTCCAATAAGGATGCCAACTAAGGAGATACAACTTCAAATACTAGAAACAAATAGTAGTATGTTATCCTTAAACCCCAATTCCCTAGCACAAATATACTTCTTTTTTCCCTTTTGGGTTTTTCCAACCATTCTCAATAAACTAGACTCAGAAATCACTCATTTCTTCCAACCTCAGTTTTCGGGTAAGAGGCCTCAGTTTTATGCTGTACTACTACTTTCCCCTACATTTTTTTCTCTTAACCATCAACGGGCCTTCCCTACACAGTGCAGAGCTCTAAGAGATGATGACTTCTGCAGATAACCGGGAGAATGGATAACCACAGCAGACTATAAACTTAAGAAAACTTGTACTGGTATTTCTGGTTCCTTAATATGTAACCTATTTTGAACTTAATGAAACTACTCTTCTAATTCTTCTTCTCCTTACTCATATTTTGGTTCCATTGAGTAAAGAAACCTAGGTTTCAAATTAAGTCTGGTCAGACTTTCCAAGCCATTGACAATGACAGATCTATATAATGAAGCTCCAAAAAACTTTTAAGTCCTTGAAAGAAAACTTCACATTAGTAGCTAGTCAAATAGATAAAACATGCATATCAATGTCAGACCCAGCTCCGAAGTCACTTTTACTATAGAATAGGACTACTTTTCCTGAAATGTTATCTAGATCAAGCATCCCAAATGTATTTCTGGTTCCTTAATATGTAACCTATTTTGAACTTAATGAAACTACTCTTCTAATTCTTCTTCTCCTTACTCATATTTTGGTTCCATTGAGTAAAGAAACCTAGGTTTCAAGCCATTGACAATGACAGATCTATATAATGAAGCTCCAAAAAACTTTTAAGTCCTTGAAAGAAAACTTCACATTAGTAGCTAGTCAAATAGATAAAACATGCATATCAATGTCAGACCCAGCTCCGAAGTCACTTTTACTATAGAATAGGACTACTTTTCCTGAAATGTTATCTAGATCAAGCATCCCAAATGTAATTTATGAACCTGAGAGCAGTCCTTTAACAAAGGTCAGTTTTTCTTTTCTTTTCCCCCCTTTCACTTCTTGGTCTTCAACCCCCTCAGTTACTACAAAACAATACAAACAATATTCTCAAGGTTTAAGCCAGTCTGAAAAATCCACTCTATAAAGTGACATCAAATAATTTTTCACTTCCTTTTTTCTAGAAACTAGCCCATAAACCAAAGAAAAGCTGATAAGCATGTATATACCTGTAGTCTTCATCAGTCAGACACTTCTGTAATTCTGCTTGGACTGGGGTGTTGAACTCATCCTCAATGGGCCGATACCTACAAACCTAAAACCATATCATATGCCTCAGATACTAAAAGAGAACATTTTGATATGATAAAAACAGTTCAACACAGCATGATGTTTCAGTCCTCATAGAATTGAGGGACTCAATAATAAAGGGCAGTTCTCTACTTAGTCTGGCAAAGTCAGTAGTTGATATCTACTGTACACAAAAATACACCAAACAGGGTGGAAATACAAGAAAAAGGGAAACAAAAGAAAAACAAAAACACAATGTGACGGAGAAATATATAACACCCTCACAGCCCCTGCCAAGCTGAACATTGCAACATTGCAATATCTATCGACCTGTTTTGCCAAAGGTCAAATTAAAACAAACGAGTTTCTTCATTGCAGTCAAACAGTTTCAAAAGGATCTCATCATGGATCCATTCAATGCAAAATTTGCTGAAAAGTGACGATTCCAAACAATCACTCTTCTAACTGAAAGTTGGATTAACATTTCAAGAATAAAACAGACTTACTCGGAGTTTCCTTGCATTTTTACAGAAGCTTTTTATGTAAGCATTTGAGATGCTATATGGATCTCTACCAATTATTTTCAGGATATGCCTGACTTTTTGCTCCATAGCAATAAAATCTGCCACAGCCTTTGCTTGGTAAATCTTCTGCAAATTTACATACAACCTACAATGTACACGGAAAAGCTCTATAATATACAAGTCATAATTTTCATAGACGTAAATGACAAAATACTGCTTGTCCTGCAAAAATGCTAGTCACTAACTCAGTGGATGATGTCATATCCGGTATTGAACCCTCAAGAGGTGCCTCCCCATTCCCTTCATTGTCAATGAAATCCTGCAGAGCAGGCATGAAATATGGTTGGGCAATCATGCAGGTCAAAAGGGTAGAAATTCAAGGTTGTTAAAGAACTGTTGAACGAAATTACAATAGATAGTCAATCTATTAAACTAGAAGACTAATTTCATAAAATGAAATGTTAGCAGACGAATTTGCTAATTATTTATTATAAAAATGAGAGCTAATATTTGTATGATAAAAAAACAGAGCATACAGAATCCACAAAAAGTTACCTTTAGAGCTGCCACAGTCACCCAAAACTCTGATGAACTTGAACCAACTTCAGCACTACCATCATTAATTATCTTCTCTAACTCTGAACCTTAATTGTGAAATCAAGAAAGATAAATATACATTTCTACGAAAATAAAATATAGTTGTTACATCAAAAATACGTTGACCGGTAAAAATAGAATTCTGACATGAGTAGGAAAGTGAAATACCAACCTAAAAGCAAGTCAAACTTGAGTTGCAAACTACTAATGTAATTAATGCATGCAAATACTATAAGTTTTCAAGTAGAAGCAGATCATTTAATCAACTAAAATGAACTGAAACACAAATTTTCTAGTATTAGTAGAACATTAATATACCATTAGCACTTGGTTCCACATTCAAAAAGTTTGTAATAGGCACAAATATAAGCACGGAATCAGATTATCAGAAGAGGCAAGTTCAAGATACGATCTTGATCAAGAATCTTATTTCCATCCCAAAGCTTAAAAAATACTTCTAAAACAACCAAAATCAGAACTGCTAGGCAGTTCCCAGCTATCCCACTCATTAGTATAAGATTTGCAGTAGTTGTGACAACATGTGACTTCAAAAATGTGCTCAAACCCAATTACTACAATTCCCAACAACTCTAATTATGTCTTGAATCCGCAAAATCATTACTTACTGATTCCTCTAGGAGCATAGACTTTAAATGAAGCTTCCATTGCCTCTTTATAATTGTCCTCATCAATTGCAATCATCCTGGCTTTAATTAGGTCCTAAGATAATTAAAACAAGAACGGTCTCAGAAACCAAACTAGAATAAAATATTATCGCAAGTGAAAACCAAATTTTGAACCTTGAATTGTTTCTTCTCATCTCTAGTTGATGGAAGGCATCCACCATGACTTTTTGCCCACTCTTCTGCCATCTTAACGAGAATGATGACGTAAGGGGTGTGCTTATGGACGACTGGATCAGATGTGTTCAAATCAATAGTGTCTGCAAAACTATGAGTAACAAATATATCATCAGAATCTACCTATTAAATTGAAGGCAAAAACACCATCAAAAGAATTAACATTCTCAGAAACAATCAATGCACATGCAGAAGTACTGTGACTAACCTTCTGAGCTCTGGCCATGGGTTATTTAGCCGGAGATCATCCAAAAAGTGATCAGGCTTTGACTCAATCACAGTATGCTCCTGCAATAGGATGTAACTATGAGATTTCAAATGTTAAAGTTTGTAAATTGTCCAATTATCTCAGCAAATGTGAAAGCAAAAGTCAGTCACCTTCACACTGATCCGAATAAAACCTGTTAGACCATATGAGCGTGCAAATACCAGAGCAACATTTGCATCTCGACAGATTCTGTCCAATTTCACCATTGAATCTTCAACCAGCTGAAAAAAAAAAGACAATGAGATATGTAAATAACATCAATTCATGACTTCTACTTTTAAAAGTGAAGGTAGACATCAAAAATCCCCTCGGCAGTAAAATCTCAACCACTCCATGACTACATCTACTGGCTGAAAGTGCATCTTTCCATGTTTAATTTTCTTTAAAAAAAAATAAGTGTTAGGATAGATTCCCCGCAAGTAACTTCTGAATGCTTAGATCCAACCAAAACTCCAGAAATCAAAGACTTTGAACAGCCTAATTCACTAGATAGAAGGTTTAACATGAGTAGGCTACAAAGGAGTTGGAACTTACTGCAGTTAACCAGGAAAAAAAATTTCCCAATTGCTTCCTTTGAAGGGGATATCTTAGGATTGTAAATGGTCATCAGTTTGACCCTTTGACCCAATTGATTCAAGTATAAAGCGATGTAGCAGACTGATAGCTTAAGAGGTTAACACCAAATTTGACAACTCAAACTATGCTGGCTTAGTTATATTAAATTGCAGAAACAATAACAGAGAAACTAATCTTCTTTGTTCCTTCATATATCTCCAATTAAGTATATGTAAGCAATGAGGCACTAGGAATCAATATGAATTCCAATCACTATGGATCAGTAGAAAATTAAGGTTACATTGATGTTTAATTTGACTTTGTCTCAATTATAAATCTTATTGCCAAGCTTGATGGTGCCCATAAATTTAAATGAGTCTACGTCATTAATCATATATGTGACATAAATCAACAAAGAATTAACTTAAAAAATAAAGAAATTCATACCTGTGTGGCCACTACCTGAGTGAACTGTGAGAAGAATGATGGATTTGACTCAATCAATGCCTGGGGATACTCTTCAATAAACTTGGCTTTAACGGCATCATTTAGCTCCTGAAGAAATGAACACACACATTTGGCCTTCGATTGTCCCACACATGATTCGTCCACTACAACAATTACAATTAAAAATCAGAAAAGACGATCAAAAAACACAGTTTAACAGCACAACACATAAATGACAACGTTCATAGAAATATATGTCAAAAGCAAAATGTGTACCCATGAAGTTATTCCCAAGGTCACCCACTTCAACTTTTGAGCCATCGACAATGGTGATACTTCCAACCCCACCAAGAACAAGATTTTTCAATGTTTCTGAACCTGTTGGCCCACAATTCAACAAGCATATACTAGATCTCTCAAGTGCAGCCTGTCCTTGCTCACCCCATATTCTGAGAAACCAAATTTGCAGTACAAAAATAAACAAATATAGTAAATAATCATAAAAACTCATATATTCTCGTTTTACTTTCTCCATTCTTCTCCACAAAATTCAACTCTTTATAACCATTTTCGAACTCGAACCAAGATTAAATATCTTAAACCAAATTTACTATTATAAAACTCCTATAACCCTAGTACAAAAATCGTAACATTGCAATATTATTATCAAAAAAAAAAAAAGCTTCGCAAAAAGTGATATTAATTTCACTCGAATTCTGGATAACAGAACCAACTTAAAGAAAATGAAAAGCGATTATGCTTTAAGGCCAACTAAAACAAGATCAATGTACAAAGCAATAATTAATCAACTAATTTCAATCCAAGATATCCAATAAAATTTACAAATAACGTTTAAACTTGAAATTTCTATTACTAATAAATAATTAAACAACGCTAAAGCGGAAAAATATCAATAAATTCTATACTTCTTGCCCTAAAGCTATTACTAATAAAAGTAAATAGAGACAATGCCGAAGGTCAAAAGGGTCAATAAAGAAAATAGTGAGGCAAAGAAAAGCTTCAGAATAAGTTACCTGAGCTGACGATCGTACTTCGTTTTGGGTTCCGCCATTTTGCTGTGTACTGAACGTGCGGCAGTGTGTATGGAGCTTTCTTGACTTTCGCTGGCTTGCTTGGTTACTACGCTGTGGGGTTCAAGAAGCTGAATTTTTACTCTGACCAAAAAAAAAAAAAAAAGCTGAATTTTTCCGAAAGGATATCCTGAGTGTGTTTGATTGTAAATTATTTGAGATAATTTTGTAAAAAAGTATTGTAGCCCTTTTTTGAAATGATGTATGTGAAATAAAAAGATAATTGAAAAATGTGTCAATGATACAAGTAAAGTATATGTAAATAAGGTGTAAATAACGTAAAATAATTGACAATCTGAACACACTAATTGTATTTGCATCCCCTATAGTTTAATGAAATTGTGTTTAAACCCGTTGGATTTAAAGGAATTACAGATATAGTCATACAACGGGCTCCCGTGTTATATTGTATTGGGACAAAATGTACCATAAATATGATATTAGGTAAATCAAGCTAATCTTTCCTTTAATTTTAGCAATTCTTCTATTGTTTGTTCAAAAACTTCCCCTAAAAGATTAAAGTAATTTTGTAATAAATTCCCTTCAATGTATCAAAAATGCCACATGAGTAATTATTAATGCCATCTAAGTGTTTTAAAAATAAAAAAAAAGAATAGGATGGGTTATAATTTCCTTTCATCAAAATTTAAGGTAGGATAAAATTGATGACACTTGATGTACGTATAGCTATAAAAGTTAGCTCTCCGCCAATTTTATTTTTTATTTTTTGACTAAGTGCTTGTATTTTTAAAATATTTTTGTTTTAAATCTCTCTTTTCTACTTTTCCATGAATAAATAATATAGGTTAGAATTCAAAATTTTTGTTTTAACAACTCTTTTTTGTTTGATATAAGGAACATGAACAAGAAAAGTAAAGGGTAAAATTACAAAGCGAAAACTATCATAAATGCTTAGTGGATACAGAGCAATGATGAAGGAGATCCACATGTTATTTTGAAATCAAGAGGGGAGATCTCTAATTTTGGAGAAAACTAGAGGGGAGAATTGTAATTTACCCTATAATATAATAAAGGGTTAATTACATTTACCTTCCCTATAGTTTAGACTATAGGTTTAACCATATTACGATGACCCTTTTATAAGTAACATCCGTCAACCAGCAAATAGAAAATACTAAAAGTACAGAAGTGCCCTCTATGCAAAAGTACTAAAAATTAAAACAAAAACAAACTTGAAGACTTCTTTTAGGGATTTTTTTTTTTTTTGTTTCTTTTAGTAAAGACGTTTGTTTAACTAAAAATATATCAAAAGCTCTTTTCTTCAATAGAAATTCTAAATGAGTTTAAACTTTTTTCCTTAAGAAAAAAGATGGTCTAATAACTAGAAAAATGGAGATCAAGAAAAAAAGAAAAAAGAGACTTTTTGCTGAAAATTTTAAAAAAATTATGGTAAATTTAATCAAATGAAAAGGGAAAGCAAACGACCATAATCGTAAGGAATGTAATAACCATCTTGCGTCTTCAACTTTGCCATTCACGTGATATATATTGTTTCATCACTATACAAGACACAAGCAACCGTGCATGTCTATAGGTAGCAAATAAGGAGATTGGTCCTCGTGCTCTTAATCAGGTAAAGCTTTACAGGGATTTAATAACCCATGAAAAGAAGAATCAAATGCATTTAGCAATTAAGATTTGAATATATATGGTTGATTTGGAAAAAGCTTATTTATGTACTGATTTCTTCTTATCATATGTAGAATTTGGTTGTTATGACAAGGAAATTGTTATCTTTGGTGTGTGTATATATATATATATATATATATATTTCATATTTCTTTCATAGTTCCATTAGATTTTACATAGATTTTCTCAGTGATGGTAGTATTTTGGGGATGTCTTTTGGTGGCTTGGATTATGTAAAAATTGTTATTCATAAATCATTAAATTGGGTAACTTATAGAAGTAGGGGATGGTAGTTGTGGTGCTGTGGTAGAGTCTTACAGCCATCACTCAATATAAGATTAAGGTGTCAGATATTTTGAGGACGAGGAAGAAGAAGACTACTACGGGTTGAAGAGGTCCTTTAAGCCATCCACTCGATTTTATCCATTGTTCCTGCTAAAACTTAGGTAGTCAAAGTTAGGTCCTGTTTGATAACTCAATTCAGCACTTAAACTTAATAAATTCAAATCTTAATATATTTAGACCGTTTGATAATAAAAAATTGAACATTTGAATGAATTAATGGAAAAATCATCCAAAACGTCCTTGACATTTTGTAAAATAACTTTTTTCGTCCCTCACTTTTAAAAGTGTAATTTTATGTCCCTTACATATTCACATCGGTCAAATTTATTCCCTAACTAGGTTTTCGATCATTTTTTGGCCGGAATCCATCATGTGCAAGGCACGTGATCATTTTTGAAGGGTAAATTTATCAAATTATATTTTACATAATCTGATCTATAGTCCTCCACATTTTATAAAATAAATTTTTTCGTCCCTCACATTTCACAAAATGATTTCTCCATCCCTCACATTTCAAAAAATGAAATTTTCATTTCTCACTAATTATGTGTGTGAATACATTTTTTTTAAACACATGTATATGTCTATTTGATTTTGCTTAATAATAATAGTATAAACACATGTATGTAATTGGGCCCAACTTGTGGGCTATCTTCTCTTTTTGTATGATTATGACTAATATTTACTAATAGAACCTTAATTTGCATATTCTTATTGTATTTTGACCGAAAATAGCTTTATTGGCCAACTTGACAATGAATGCAAAATTTTTTACTAGCTAATACCAGATGAAATCAAATGATCACGTATAATATATGGTATTCGTATTGTTAAGTGAAATCAAATAGACACATACATATATTTATGCTATTCGTATTATTAAGCAAAATCAAATAGACATATACATGTGTTTAAACAAAATGTATTCACACACTTTTTTTTTTAGGGTTTCCCTCACACACATAGGCCCTGTTTGGAAGCTTGGTTTTTTACCAAGTTTGTATAAAACTAGTTTTTTAACAACTTGTGCTACAGGAACCCCAAAAAACTTACCCAAAAAACTTATAAAATTTTTAACCTACACACTTAAAATATCCAAAACACAACAAAAAAAAAAATTTCCTTCCCCTTTTCTTCTTCTTCCTCTCCCACCACCACCTCCATTGCCGGCTCTGTCGCCGGTTTCCGCATCAATTTCCGGTGCCGGTGCCGGTCTTCTTTTTTTTCCCCCTTTTTTCCCTCTCCCCCTCTTCCTCCCCTGCCATCATCCTCTCTTGTCTTTTTTTTTTTTCTCTCTACGTCCGGCACCATTCCCACCTCTCTGTGGGGAAAAAAAAAGAAAGAAAAGAAAGAGGATGAGAAGCGGGAAGGGGACAGGGAAGGCGGGGGGGGCGGGGCAGAGGGGGGCGGCGGGGGGAGGGGAAGGCGGGGGAGTGGGAAGGGGCAGAGGGGGCGGCGGGGAGAGGGGGAAGGGGCAGAGGGGGGGCTGCGGGAGGGGGAAGGTGGGGGGGGGGGGGCGGCGGGGGAGCGGGAAGGGAGAGGGGGGCGGGGGGGAGGGGAAGGGGGGGGGTGGGGGGCAGAGGGCAGAGGGGGCGGAGCGGGGAGGGGGGCAGAGGGGGCGGGCAGGAGGGGGCGGAAGGCGGGGGAGGGGGAAGGGGCAGAGGGGGGCTGCGGGGGGAGGGGGAAGGCGGGGCAGAGGGGGCGGCGGGGGGAGGGGAGGAGAAGGGGAAAGGGAGGAGAGGGGTGGCGGTTGCTGGCAGGCTGCTGGGGGTGGCGGAGGTAACGGGGAAGAAGAAGAAGAAGAAGAAGAAGAAGAAAAAGAGAAGAAAGAAAAGAAAGAGGAAAGAAAGAAAAAGAAAAAGAAAAAGAAAAAGAAAGGGAAAGAGAAAAAAAATAGAAAAGGAAAAAAAAAAGAAAAAAGAAATTTTTCACCTTACAAAAACTTCTACAAAATTTTTCATCTTACAAAAATTTCTTTCTACAAATTTTTTTCAAAAACTTCTACAGTACACTACAGTAAAGTTTTAGACAAACTCCCAAAAAACTCAGGTTCCAAACAGGCCCATAATTAGTGAGGGATAAAAATATTCATTTTTTGAAATGTGAGGGATGGAGAAATTCATTTTGTGAAATGTAAGGGATAAAAAAATCATTTTATAAAATGTGAGGGATGAAAAATGTATTTTATAAAATGTGGAGGACTATAGATTAGATTATGTAAAATATAATTTGACAAATTTACCCTTCAAAAATGATCACGTGCCTTGCACATGATGGATTCCGGCCAAAAAATGATCGGAAACCTAGTTAGGGACTAAATTTGACTGATGTGAATACATAAGCGATATAAAATTACACTTTTAAAAGTGAGGGACGAAAAAAGTCATTTTGCAAAATGTGAGGGACGTTTTGGACGATTTTCCGTTAATTAATTGGCACTGAATTTCTTAGACAAAACTTGCTTCCAAAATTAAGTGATAAACTATTCATTTATCATTAAATGTGATATGCACTTAAATGCATTAAATTTAATACTTAACAATTCAATAACTTAATACATTCAGACTTCAGATTTCAGTTTTCAGATTTCAATTTTCAGACTTCAATTTTATAAAACGCACCCTTAGTTGACTAACAAAAGGAGTGTAAGTGTTAGGAAGTTATGATTTTTAAGGGTCTTCTAATGATATAGATAAACCTCAAGATCTGTTTCGTAATTTGGTTAAATCTCAAGGGAGAAAAATGTAATTTAATTAATTATAAAAATCCAGGGGCTGGTCAAGATTGAAACTCCAAATTTAGAGGTCTTGGGATTAACTCAGTAATCACCCACTTCCACTCCCCATTTTTTAAATCCCACTTCTCCTAAAAAAAATAAAACAAAACAAAGATTGCTCAACAGATTTTTGCGATGCATCATTATTGGGATAACAATATGTTTGTGACAGTCATCATAGGCAATTAGGTGTCACAGAGATTTATGTATTATTAACTGTTTTCAAATGACATTAGAAATTGCAAAAATAAGTTTGAAGCTATGTGGCTACTACATCGAGACTTGAACTATATG